CTCTGTTAGAAGCAGAGACACAACTTGATCATCAATGATCTAGAAAGGTACAATTCTGGCCTTCATGGTAAGATGAGTATCAGGTTGTCTTTGAGCCCACATGGGAAAAATTGGACTGAAAATCTTAAAAGGGACACTTCCCCATTTGTGGGAAGAAAAAAAACTGATTTGGGGTAGCCCACCACAAAAACACTACACCTTCAGAAAACTTAATTTAGGTCTTTTGCAAAGATCTATAATTCTACCTCTGTCTCTCATGATTCCTTTTCTTTTTTTAAATTTTTAATGGCTGCATCCATAGAATCCAACTGTTCAGAATAATAAAGCAATGAATATATGCTACCTTATAATAACATATTACAAAGGGTGGCTGAAAAGTTCTTGGCCTAAGTAGAAAGGGGATAGGCAAGAGGAGTGTTGTTTATATGTGTTGTAGCCTAAAATATTGTGATTGTGTGTACACAGTTTCATGACAATGCTCTCAACAGTTCATTTTCAACAAATCTTTGCGAGCATGCATAGCCATCAGTTGACATGGAGAAATTTGAGCACCAGGCTGTGATTCAATACCTTTTTCTGAAGAGCTTAAGTGTGAAAGACATCCAAGCAGATATTCAGCAGATGTTGGGAAATGATGCACTGAGTTATTCGCCTTTGAAAAAGTAGGTAACAAATTTCAAATACAGAAGAGAGAGCTTGGAATACGAACCCTGCAGCAGATGTCCTGTGTCAGCCACAACAGGGGAAAACATAAAGGTTGTGCACGATATCATCATTGGCAATCATATGATAACCACGTGGGTCATCGCACATCTTGAAATATCAAAAGAGCATGCAGAGCACATCATCCATTGTGAACTGAAAATGAAGAAGGTGACTGCCTGATGGGTACCCCAAACCTTCAATGAAGACCAGAAATGCCTGCAAGTGACTTTGTCAGAGCAGCATCTGGAACAATTTCTGGCCAATAAGTCACGTTTTCACAGTCTAATAACTCGGTGCTTCATTTCCCAACGTTGGCTGCCTATCCGTGTGGATGCCTTTTGTACTTAAGCCCCTCAAAAGAAGATAAAGGTTCTGGCCAGAACTGTGGCCTGGAGCCTCCATTCTGCTGGAAAGTGACCTTCCTTGGTCTTCCACTCCAGACTTCCTGTCTACTTTGATGCCCTGAAGGATCAGAAGCTGTTTCCAAACCCAAAGAAGGTCACTTTCCAGCAGGATGGGGATAGGGTAGGAGAGAGCCATTTATACAGGGTGTCTCAAAAAAATGTATACACACTTGAATCAAGAGTGATTCTGGAAATCTGAGAACACATGTGAAGTGCAAAGAAGGTGGAGAAATGAACTTTCAACTATGCCACCATGATGTACTTAGAACTTTCAAGGATTCATGATAAGTTTGATGCTGATGGTACAGTGCATGGTCTCCCAGAACATTGCTAGTACAGTAATGCACAGTGTTCTGATAGACCTCACACATCAACAGGTGGGGAAAATGCTGCTGTTGCAATGTAAGCATTCACACGATCGCATGAAATTGAGGAGTCCTGTGCTGCTATCCCAGCAGAAACCTGTCCACAAGTTTGTTGCACTGTTGCTCACTGCTGTCAACAGTGCCTGGATCCTATCAAACTCTATCCCTAAAGTCTGGAGAAAAGCCATAGTTCTCGCCATCCCGAAACCCAACAAACCTCCAGATGACCCCAGCAACTTCCGCCCCATATCACTTCTGTGTACTACCTACAAGCTAATGGAGAGAATCCTTTTAGAGCGAATCTCCCTCCCGATC